AGCCTTTTTGAAAAGGTTTATATGAATTAGAATTTCACACAGTATGATTTGAATTATGCTTTTCAGAGCAGAGGATTGATTTCCACTGCTGCTCATTCTGTCTTTTAACAGTTTGCTATAAATGTCCTGTAACTGAATGGAACATCATAATGAATAAAGGTTTTCTTTAGCCGATGTGGTTTGACATGTTTGCCCTAAAGTACTTTTGCACATAGTAATGCACTATTATTCTTCACTGTCACACTCCAATCCCAACCCCCCCAGTGATGGTCTTTAATTTGCAGGGATTGGCAATAAGAGAAGGTTGCTGAAGAGGGCTCAGTGCGCCTCTTGATTTCTTGGCACAAATGAATGAAGTGGCCTAAGTCCAGCTGCTCTGCTGACCTTGGTTTGCAATCAATAGTGTGTTTAGATCTGTTGATAGCCAAATAACTCCACTCATAAAATATCCTTTCTTTATTTACCACTGAAAGAACACGATTGGATGAACTATAAAAATTTCGCAATTTTAAAGTTCATCAGCGTTAATCTGTTTTTTTACTTCTAATGTTCAAATGATCAATGTGAGAAATGTATTATTTACCATCTTGTATTATACGTAAAGCTGACCCATGATATTAGCATTCACTAAACATATACCGGTAACCATCTGTTTTTGCTGTTTCATTTTAGATCAGATTAATTAATTCCAGTCATTTAGGATTAAAAGCTTTATTTTCTATTAACTAAATGATAATAAGGAGATTCCTTATTCCTTATCTGAAACCTTCTTCCTTCCTTTTTCAGTCCTGCTTTGACCGTTTTTTCGTGCCTTTAAATCGGCTGTTCAATTCTCTCCTCCTCATGTTTTCCTCTGTCAGCCACATTATCAAAAAGAGGGAACCCTGTTTGTTTGTTGTTTTTTGTTTTTTTTTACATTGGATGAATCCTTAGGCATAAATTGTTTAATGAGGAAAACTGATAAGCAGCTGTTTTGGAAAGACTATTAATTTTATCTAAGAGTTTGCATTTTGAAAGGACACTAAGGATAAATACTTGCTCACACATTTTTCCATAAAGAACTCATCAGCATCGTCCCATGATCTTGGCACTGAGGACTGGATTATTGGTTTAATTCATCCACCTGCTTAGTTCTTCCCAGTTTTCATTATCATTCATCAGATCCACCTGTTCCAATTCCTATTTATTCTGCTTAGTCCCAACCATCAGTGCCAGATTATTTGGGCCGTAGGTGAGAGTTCTCTAGCATACCCAGGGTGTTATTCTTATTGCCTGATCCTGACTAGTTTCTGCTCCTGGACTTTTGAGTTTGCCTGCCCCTGATCTGATCTGTTTGCCTGACCTGTCTTCGGACATCCTTTGGATTATACCTGCTAATGACATTGGATCTTTCTGCTGACCATGGCTTGGATTTCCCTTTGGTACCTCTTTGGATATCTGATCTTCTGCTTCCTCATCAACACTGGTTTTGGATTCTCCGTCCGGATACTTCTGCTGTTCCTCATCTGCTGGCTTCTACTCATGCTTTTTAATTATCAGTTCAGTCTGTCTGTCTGAATTCTGGGTCTAACGTTCTGACACACTGTGCACTTTTGAAATATATAGTTGCAAAGGTCTGAGAAAGCTAAAATGAGAAAAGTCTTAAAGTCTTTTCTATGGGTTATGTTTTTTTTTGTTCTTGGTTGGTTGTTTTATGGGATGCAGAGAAGATCATAGGAGTAATCAGATTTCTTTTTTTCCACCTGGCATCTGGTAGAACCATGCTACACTCACCAGCAGCCATCTGCAGAACCTGAAAAAACGCAAAAGGGGGTGGATGTTTTATCAGATAAGATTCACAAAATGATGCTTAATATTGTTTATCTTTGGAAGAAAATTTTTAATTGCACTTAAATCATAACCTTGGTTTATTCCTTAAACAAAAACAACTGGAAGACTGTGTTTTTGTAGCTGAGGGAATATAAGCACACCTCAAGTGCAATAGCTAGTTTTGCTAAAATAACTTAAGTGGGATTCTTTGAATCATCTTGCAGTCTGGGACATCGGTCTGAGGAAAGTTTGCACCGCCTCAGCTGCCAGATGTTAGATGTTTGACGAAGCTCTAGATGTTCTGTCTGTTTTAAGTCATCCCACAGCACCTGAATAAGATGAAGAGCTGCACTTTACCTGATCCCAGTACCTTCCATTCTTTGGTTTTCATTTAGTGGGTTGTTTTGGGATCTTTGTAATGCTGCATGGTCCAGCTCTCTTTTTTTTCTTTCTTTTTCTGTTAACTGATCAAATTTTCATCAAGCACTGACTGAAACAAGAATGGGTTGAATTTAGGGTGAAGCCTATGACGATGAGGCAGCTCGGTTCTGCTGCTGCAAAGTTTCTTCACATCATGATACTCCCAACCCCGGGCTACACTGGTGTCTTTATCCTGTAATGCTGTTCTTGATTAATCCCAAACATATCCTGGACGTGGCAGTGATGCAGAGGTAAAAGCTTCCACCCATGTCCAAAGCTCTTGGGCCTCTTACCAACCGTCACAGGTTCGGGTCCTGGCCTATGACCTTTGCAAAATGTGTTCACTATTTCCTGTCTACTGTATCTATCTTTTTAAAAAGCCCACTTGTGCCAATAAAAAGATAAACAAACACATGAATTATTCTGTCCGGAAACATTATCTGTCAAGTTTCGGTGTTTCTATATAAAAAACTTAAAGTTATGATTTTTCTTGGGTAGAAAATGATACTATCTTTGTACATCTTCCATAGAAATTTACATTTTAGGTCTAGTAGAAAGATAATTCAGTATATTTTCACAAAGAACTAGCAAGCGGCTGCTGTAGGCCATTTTAGGGGTTTTAGAGACCTTTAGCATCTTATAGTATGCTTCCAGTGTGAACAGTTCAGTGAGTAGTTGGACAGATGTTTGTGAGCATGTTGAATGTATTCCTCTCGTAGAATATTTTCCACAGATGAGACATCTGACTTTAAAAGCACAAAAGGACCTCTTTAAATTCCTTAACAGACTCATGGGCTTTCACAACCTTCTTCCTGAAGACCTTAGACATATTTACACCTATTTGTTCACTTTGACTTTCAGGTATATACCAAACAAAAGATATGGTTGTAAAATGTAATGTAAAAAAAAAATGTAAAATGTAAAATAATTTCTTTAGTATGGAAAACCTTCCAAACATCCTAAAGCACAGATGACCTCATTCACTTGCTTACCTTTTCACCACTGAGTTCTGAGTTCTACCCAAATCTTTGTATATCAACTACCACTCAACTCGATATCCAATAACTTTTCCGGTGGGATTTCCGGCAACTTTTTACTTCCATTATTTAAGGACACACTTGATATTTTATTGTTTGATTTAATCATATCTGTTTTTTTACAACGTATTATTATTATTTTGTTTTCCAAAGCTATTGCATTTGTTTACTGTTCTTGCACTACATGTTCTTTGTGCACATTGCTGTTCTAGTTTTACTCAAAAGTATAAAACACATGACACTTTGACTGTAAAAAAAAACTGCAGACTATTTATTTATTAACTTTTACTAACACTAGATTATTCATTTGAAAAGGAGTGTAAACAGCATTAGTTGGTGTGTGTGTGTGATCTGATCAGGAATGTATAGTATGGTATAAATAGATGGCGAAATGAAATTAGGGCCCCATGGAGGATTGGGTCGGCCATAATGAGAATAGAATAGAATAGAATAGAATAGAATAGAATAGAATAGAATAGAATAGAATAGAATAGAATAGAATAGAATAGAATAGAATAGAATAGAATAGAATAGTGCTTTATTTTCCCAGATTAGGGAAACATATCAGCATAAATTGACAGCCAAATTGAAGACCATGGATGCTCATTAGGACAGCATTTAATGAAAGAATAAAATAAATAACAACATAAAATATCACTGAAAGGAAATATGCAAAGTAGTGAAGAAAATATTTAAAAAAAACATAGAATTTCAACAAGAAAAGGGCAAGCAGTGTAAATAACCCAGTAATGTAGCTATTTTCATTTTAACAATATCAAACTCTTTTTCCAATACATAAATGCAGATTAAGAGAATTAATAATCCATCTGTTTTGAAATGAGAAGAACAGTTATTTACTTCCCTTTGGAAACATGGAACTAGATTATGTTATGTTATTTTTACGTTTATAGCATCAAATCATTGTGCGCTTACTGAATGTTATCACGCTGTAGGAATCTCAGCCCGTGCCTACCCCACCCCTTTAAAAATGCAGCAGTTGTATCCCTGCTGTGATGAAAGCAGAGTGACATCATCTGGTCAGCTCACTAAGCCGTTACAAACAGAAACAGAACAGTAGCTCCCTGCCAGCTGGTATGACGTCCATTGGAGCTATGGGTACAAAAAGCAAGTCATTCCACTCCAACATAACTTTGGATAACATGAAAGGTTATGGAAAAATAAAAGAACTGTTATTTTATTATTCTTTTTTTTCATCTACACAAAAGAAATTCTGTTTTTCTAGTTAAAATACTACTGGTTTGTAAAAAAAAAAGTGCATTCATAAATATTTTGTAAATACAAGAAACAAATTTGTTCCCCTATTTTCATTTTTTTCCGTTTTTGCCAAACAGTCCTTTTCAACTCAGAATTAAAAAAAAATATTATTATTAGATAAATAAGAACAAAAAAACGTTTATCTATTTCAGTTACTCAATACAACAAGTTAGACTGATGTTTTCAAGCCTTTCATTCTGTAATTTAGAACACTTTCTGCTTACAACTAATGAAAACACAGCATTGAAATTTAAAATATAACATCAGTCCAGTAAAAAAAATCAACTTTTAATTTTCTTATTCTTTGGAATATTACTCTTCTGTTTATGTTTATAACTTTATGAAATTATCAGCATGTGTAATAAGGAGTAATAATAAAGTTCCACTTTGCACAGCCTTGCCATATAGGTTTTTTTTTTCATGCACCTTTTCCAAATGCCTTTGTCTCCCTCTCCGCAGGTCAAACTGGCTGAAGCCTTGCTGTGGACGGCGAGCTGCGCTGTGGCAGGTCTGCCTGCTGTCAGCAGGTTTCAACTGTTTCCTGGTAGCTTGTGTCATCCTGGTGGTGCTGCTGCTGACAGTCGAGCTGCTCATAGACACCAAGCTGTTGCAATGTGAGTGATGCTTACTAGGATAACGTGGCTCTGATGGAAGTTGGGGGTAGGGAGTGTGGTTTTTCAGGATGTAATATTGATGAAGCTGGTGTGTTACGTTCATTATTGACAGTCTAGACTTGATGTAGCGCGCCCTTGAAAAGAGAGGAAAGCGGTTTGCTCAGCACAACTGTTTACTGATTGTTATTCAAAGGCACTGGGTCAAAGCACTGATCTAATCCAGAAGACAAAGGAGCACGTTCATTACTCTATCATTAGCATAATGGTTAGCTGCAGGAAGACCATGCTTAGAAATAAAGCACAGAAGGAAATGTATTTGATGAAAGCATTGATATTTGCAAAGGTTGAACTAACAGCGTATCAGTGCTCTCCATCCATAGCATTGGTTTAATTCAGTTTATTTATATGGCGGCAATTCATTTCAAGGCACTTTGCAGAGGAAATTCAATCAGGTCATACATTCAAACTGGTAAAAGTTAAGGAAAACCAGATGAATGCACCAAGTCATTGACTTGCATCAGTACTCTACTGCCACAAGTTACTTTTATCCCACATAATATTGTGTGTGTGTGTGTCTAAACTGAAAAATTTGTATATTTTTAAATATATATAAATAAAAAGTGTTACGGCAAAAAATATATGTGGTCTTCATCTGCACTACAGTCTCCTTGATCATGACCCCGCATTATGATGTGAACCAAAAACACTTGGTGTGCCTTTTTTATAAAATCCTAAATCACAAGCATTTTCACAGACGCAAATCTAACCAATTCACACAAATAGATAAACCATCTACTCAATCATATGGATAGACATAAACTCATTCTGTATGTAATACTAATATATACTAGCTAATATGCATCTAGTTCAGTTGCAAATTTTAAAGGGATAACAACCAGACGTACTTGTTTGGTGGGACCAGCAGCTAATTTAACATCATTGTCCAGGACAAAGATATATGTTTGAACAGAACCAAATGTATTATTTGTATTTAGAGACCATAAAGATATCTGCAAAAAACCTCAGCCTGGTGAAGATTTTACAAACAAAATAAAAAAATGGAAGGAAGATAACAGAAAGGCTTAAATGGCAGAAATCAAGTCCAATTGGTACATAGGTGAATTTTATTTTCTGTGAAATTTTAGATATATTTTGCATGGGAAGGTCTTTCCATGCTACACTCTATAACTGCTTATTACTTTATATTTACAGAGATGTAGATTACCCATAAAATGTATACTGATACATCACCAAAGAGATTCAGATGACTAACAAAAAGCACAATGGTTTCCATCACACATTTTCCTTCTACTCAACTTTCCATCTATATGCTTGGATCCGGTGCCCTAAAAACAGTCAGCTTCTTCAGCAAAGAGCATTTTATAGCCTGCCCTCATTGTGAAGGAAGCTAATGACGGTTTGCTGAACAACTCTCAATTCAGCAGCCTTACTCGTTATTTATTATTTGACTACAACTACTTAAATATATTCACTACCAAAATGTGCAAAACAAATATAAGAAGCCATTTTTTTCTAGAATTTCAACCTTAAAAGTCTTCAAATATCAATAACCCTGAGCTCTGATGACCAAGATTTACATCGCTGTGCTTTGAAAGTCACTCACATCATGTGGTAAAGATCTCAGTGGATTTCCTCTTTCATTTCCAAGAACTTGAAATGCTGACAAGCTGTTTTCCTCCAGCAAAATCTAGGATACCTTCAAGCTTTTAATGTCCCAGGTGGACTGGCTGAGGGATTGACCAGTTAAACTGACTCGTGAGACAAATGTGAGAAGGAAGATAGACCAAGAAATCAAGCAATGCAGAATATACTGCTTGGGCGATTGTTAGGAGGACTTGGAGGAAGATGAATTGGCGGATAGGAAGGATCACTGAACACAGCAAACAAAGACAGATGGAGAGAGATGTGGTGTGTGAAGACAAATGTCTCTGCTGATAGTCAAGTGCAGTTTGATGTTGTCCACAAGTAGCCTGATGAATGAGGGGAAGGAAGAGACACTTGGTTGTACAGTATTGGTGAACAAATATGCTTTAAATGCTTCTAAATAGATTTGGATGCATTGGCGTTTTCATTTAAAAATAACCATTTTATGTTTGGTTTGGTGTAATGAAATGTGCCATTATTCTTTGAGCCTATGTTTGCCACTGTTCTTTAAAATAATAGGTTCTTGTGTTTTATTCCCTCAGTTAATAATGCATCGCAGTTTGCCAGCATCATCCACTGGATCAGCCTGGCTATCCTTTCTGTGTTCTTCACTGAGGTGAGTCCTCCCCTGCTCCAAAGCAATCTCACTTACAGCCGATGCAGCGACCTGACGATTAATGCTGCGCTGTGCAGTATGTTGCTCCCCTCAAATGCACCAGCAGGTTCGCAACACAAAACTAGAGCAGCTTTCAAATGCCCTGTACTCTCATTCACTGTGCAAACACACTGATACCTGTGATCCCAAATGAAATGTCCCTCAGGGAAGAATGCATTTTCAAAGGACTGTTGTTTCTGCTGTTTTAAAATACAGACGGAGCTTTTTTTACCACTATTCTCCTCAGAAGCCTCTTATCAATTATCTTTTTCTTTGCAATGGCCATTTTCATCTTAGCTTCTAACACTTACACACCTGCTTTTAAACTTTATACTACAAGGTTAAATTATCCCACATGGATTATTTCAATTGTTTCAGTTTTTGTTTTGACTGTTGAATGTATTGTCATTTTTAAACCTCACTTCACATATTCACAAATATAAAAATAACCAACTAAATTTTAAATATATCTTACACCTCTGATAGTGAAACAAATGTTTTTTTTTTACCCTGAAAAGGTCATAAAATTATAACAGCACCACCTACAGGTATGCTGCTGCATTGCATTTTGTGCTAGTTTTATAAAAGTTTATAAGTTAATGTGATGCTATTTGTTTAAAATGACAACCACATGTTAAACACCTCACACAGTGCCTTGAATATGCCTTGAGTATACATAGAACCTTCTAAAACTTATTTTGCTTCATTTTTATGTTTCACAAACTAAGATTATTGCTTTGAACATTGTCCTAGAAACGAAAGTTGCATCAATGAAAAGGTAGTACTAGAAATGTTATACTTGTGCATTTATACATTTAGTCAAATGGAAATAAAACATGGCCTCTAGTGACATGTGTGTGCATGTGTAAACAGCCCCCCGAAGACTTCTGGTAACAAACCCAAATAATCCTAATGCCTCAGAGCATGTGTAAAGAAAGTTAAGGCAGGATATACAGTAGTTCAATTACTCACTATCAGCAAAATGCCGCTCTTTTGTTTATTTGCCTATTTGTGGGGGAAATTATATAATCCGCTTAGGGCTGAAACAATTAATCAAATTAGTTGACGATTATTGAAATAATCGACTAATTTAGTAATAGATTAATCGTTAAATGGAGTATAGAGACTATAAAACATGCCTTTGGCTAAATTATATCAAAATTGTAAAAAAATATATATATATAAGTGGTCAAATTTTAGTTTCACTTGATTTAATTTCGTAAGAAATTTTCTTTAAGGAACCTTTGGCTATCCAATTATTAATCAATTCATTGAAAAAATAATCGACAGAATAATCGATTTGCAAAATAATCTCAGAGCTCACATTTTAATTTAGCCACGGTGCTCAAAAAAAGCAAAAAAAATATTTATTTTTACGTTTTATTTATATAAAAAAAACTGATTTATGGTGTAATATTATAATATTATTAGTTTTTTTGGTCTACAGTGTTTACAACAGGCTAAAATTATCAAAGAAAATACATGACCAACCTTACCAAAATCATGTATACCTTGTTTATTAATTATAAATTAATAATATGAATGTAAAAAAGGAAATGAAAGAAATTTACCTTTGGTAAATTAACAGTATTTTTGTGGAGTACATGACTAATTCTCCAGCCTGAGCTGTTAATCTCTGCAGCTCCTCAAGAGTTACAAGAGTTCCAATTAATGTTCTCTCTGCCTATATATTAGTTCATATGTTTTTTGTTTTTTATTTCTTGCAATCCGGATGATTGCGGTTTACAGATATTGAAAAGTCCAAATTATCTGAAAAAATTTGAACATTACATAAAATCAGTAAAAATCAAATACATCGTCATGTTTACGCACTCAATACCTTGCTGGCCATTGTTTTGCATTAATTACAATAGAGAACTTTGATAGAGAACTTCAGGTAATCTACATTGTTGGGCCTGCAGTCTCTCATTTTCCAAAATACAACACCACGATTATTTTTTGTGGGGTTTAGATCAGGCCAGCTTAGCACCCTTGGCGGTGTGGATAGGTACCAAGTGCTGATGCAAAATGAAATCAGCATCACCATAAAGCTTCTTGTCAGAAGGAACCATAAACTGACACTAAAAGTCCTTGGTGGATGTCTGTTTTGACTGTGGAATTTGGAAAAGTTAATGGATCAACATCCGCAGATGACATGCCACCCTGCTAATCACCACTGACTGTGGAATCTTCAATTGAACTCTAGGGACCAGGGATTCTCTTTTCCGTCCACTGAACTTTCTATGTATATCCAAGGGTACTTCAGTCTGTGTCAGTCTGCCTTTTTAATGATGACCTTCTGTGGCTCACCCTCCTTGCGGAGAGGATCAGTGACGGCTCTCTGGAAACCTGTGCAGTCAGCACTGTTCCCCATGACTGTGTAGCAAACTCACCCAGAATTAGAGGCCATTTAGATGCTCAGGGCACCTTTGCAGGTGTTTTAAAATAATTAGCTGATTAGAATGTTATTGTGTGAATTCCTATAATTTAACTTTTCAGAAGAATTCAGGTTTTCATTATATACGTATATATGTAAATATAAAATGGAGTTTTATACGGAATTATTTGACCAAAAAATTAAGTTTTTTATTATTTCACATTATTTCAGCTATAAACATACCTCTTCACTGGTTTCAGTAATTTTCAACGTGATGTATTCTTTTCCACCTACTTTAACAGACTATATGTGCACCATCTTGATTTGCTTGTTCACATAAAATCCCAACAAAACCCATTAAGGTTGTCTGTAAATTGTCTGAAATAAAGTTATCCATTAAAAGTCTGTGGTTGTAACATGAAATAATGTAAAGCTCAAGTGACATGCAGGACACGGCATGGATGAATCTGCAGCCAGGTAAATATGGTTAGTGAGTAGGCAAGGCAGCATGATAACGGAGGTATGTGTTCATCTAGAGAGACACACTATGAAACCAAGGTATGAAAACAATGAAAGATAATGAGAGTATTTATACAGCTCTTTCATAACTAAAAGAAAACTTGAAGTTCTTAAAAAAAGACAGGTATTTAAATGAATGTAGTGTAATTGAATAAATTAAGAAAATACTTGTAAATGGATCTTCTTATAACCTTGTTTTTTCTGTCCCACCACTGCTGCTCTTAGACGGTGTTCAGGATTGTGGTGCTGGGGATATGGGATTACATTGAGAACAAAGTAGAGGTGAACTCTTTCATGTCTTATAAGAAGTAAATTGATTTGGGGGGGAGAGGTTGTTCTGCAGGTGTTATAACACAGGAGTTGCCTTTTTGTTTCAGGTGTTTGATGGAGCTGTCATCGTACTCTCTCTGGCCCCCATGGTGGCCTCCACAGTGGCCAACGGCCCCAGCAGCCCCTGGGATGCCATCGGCCTCATTATCTCATTTCGCATCTGGAGGGTCAAGAGAATAATTGACGGTGAGCCAGGAGTGGTTAATGTCCTCTAGATCCTGTCCTCACAGAGCAAATGCTCCTTATCCTCTTTTCCCACATCCTAATTGTAATAGGCAGGGCATATTTTTATCTAAAGGTGATTGTGATGCTACAAAACTGCTTGACACTCATTTTATTAAGAGATATACATGGTGCTCCCTCTTGTGGCCATTTTAGTGAATTACAGGATGAATAATGATTAAAAAAAATTATGATTACTTCAAAAATATTTATAGTTAAAAATGTTAACAAATTCCTAATTCTATTAGATGATCCATTCATAACCTATAGATTATTTGTTATTCTTTTTATCAATTCTTAAAATCGAGGGCAAATAAGAGATGTTGGAGGCCTTTAAGCTATATGAAGAGGATCCAGGTCACTGTCTTCTAAAGTCTCTGACATATTAAGTTAGTCAATAGTTTAAATCAAAAGTCAAGGTAAGCTTATGTATATTTCACAAAAATAGTTGATTTAAAATTATCTGTTAATTTGAGGGATTATTGTACTTGAGATCATACATTACTTCGATTTGTCCCGCCAATCCTTCTTGCATAGTTTCCCTATGACTCAGGACAGCCTTGTGTATAAATAATGTTTAAACTTCTCCAACGTTTAAGGGTTTGGTCGAAAATGTAACTTGTTTTAGTGTTATTCCAACTTTGAACGGGAAGGAAAGCATAATTTGTACCTTAAACGTTTTGATGCTAAACTTGCATATGCCAGATTGATATGTGTAGTTCAGTTTGAATTCTAGAGAATTCACAAATCTCATGACAGTTCATTCTGCTTGCAGGGTTATTAAGATGCAGCCCTTTTAATGAAGTGCCTGTAAATACACAAAACCTGAAACCTTTATGTATTACATCAGAATTAGTCTGACTAACCCCATCCTGTCTTTTTCTCTGGAGCATTTACTAGACATTTTATTGATATGGGCTAATGTCAATCTGACATCCACAAAAATGTCTTTTCCTAGAAAATGTAATGCAGCCAGTTTTGTTTTCCAGCTTACGTTCTGCAAGTGAAGGTGGAAATGGAGCTGGAAATCCAGCAGTATGAGAAGGCCAAGGCAGTACGAGAGGAGCAGCTGGATCGTCTAACCCAGATCTGCCAAGAACAAGCTGTACGTTCTCACTGAACTCTTGTTTTGTAACAGCAGGCGACCAACAGAGGGTAGCAAAGTTCCACATGAGAGAAACTATTAACTGGATTAAATCCTGATGTCAAATTTGGAAAGTCTGCAAATGTGGCATGCAGAGCATGATGTAAAAAAAGAAGTCACCCTTACAGATTTGTGCTTTTACTTTTTGTGTCACCATTTAGTGATTTATTGCATTTCTTTGATAAGTAAGATTTAAGCAGCCACATGCTACTGCTGCATCGAGAATCAAGAATTTTCCTAAAGTGAACCTGACAACATTATGTAAGCTAAAATATCTTAAAATAAACATTTAATGCCCTAAAGAAGATCAGGGACACATTAAAATCAGATTTGTCTACAGCAATATTGAAATTGTTACAGAGTTTGGGAATCAGTAATAAATGTGTGAATTGCTTCATGGAGGCAGTAATCTGGCCTGTGTGAAACTTTATTTTATTGTTTACGTAAAGAAAAAGTTTTGTCTTTAAAAATTCCTCACATGTTATTTAGTTCCTTCTGCTTTCCCTTCCAGTTTGAAATCAGACAGCTGAGAGCCCATCTTGCTCAGCAGGACCTGGACCTGGTAGCAGAGCGTGAAGCAGCCATGCAGATCCACCATATGTGGGGTAAACAAAGCAGCAGCTTCCAGGAGGTGGACGGATTAGCTCCTGGAGTCTCTGAGCATCACAGACCAGCCAAAGCAAGAGAGCCTCGGGGGGCTGCAGGTAACCTGCCTGAGACAACCAGCTGTGGTTTATTACAGGCCCTCAAGTACTGAGAGTTGAAGGATGGGGAAAAAATTGTCATCCACAGTCCAAATTGAACAGTTAGTGGGGAAACCCTGTATCTTAATTCCATGGTATAAAAAAGCAAACAAAAAAACGTATTTGCAACATTAAACATGTTTGGTTTAAGACAGTACTCAACTGTCCTAACCCAAACACTTTAAATGTTGCAAATAAGGTTTTCTTTTAACTCTGGAATCTGTCGTGTTTTTATGGATGGATACAGGCAGAACCATACCGAGAACGTGCAAAATCCATACAGACAGACCCAAAGCTGTTGGGGTTTACCCAACATTTAAAATGCAGTACTTTGGAGACCTCCATATTCCCACCAACATGCCTTCCTTCCATTGAGGTACCAGAGCCTGGGAACTCCAAATTCGCTCCAAGTACTTTAATGCTGGATGGATGGATGGATGGATGGATGGATGGATGGATGGATGGATGGATGGATGGATGGATGGATGGATGGATGGATGGATGGATGGATGGATGGAATCTTGTAAAGACCTGATCACCTTTTTTATGCCTGGCTTGATAAAAATCTGGAACTAATCTTTATTCACTGTCTCTCCACAGTCTGCCTACAAAATGTATGCAAAGTTTAAGTAAAAACCTTTAGACCTTAAGAAAACCCGGTAAAACTATCTAACAAATCGACTTAAAAAATAATACATGAAAAGTCTGTACCACTTTTAGCAACGCATTTGGAAAATAAAGGCAACAACCTGCAGAGGATGTACAGTAACACAACTTCCTTTATCCTCTATAGTATAACATCCTTCAAACCATTTAAGTGTTGGTGTCCTCAGAATAAATCTTCTCACCTTCCTAATCAAAATTCTGGTGCCACGCCTGCACTATATATCACACAGTGAGTCAGAGCGGGGACTATAAACCTTTCACACAGAGACGGCTCATAACTCAGAGGACACAGAGCACCGTCTATACAGGTGATGTCAGGGGCTCAAAACACTGAAGCATTTTCTTTATCGATGTTATAAATCACAGCAGGACTAGACGCCATGTTTGTAGTCGGACTGCATTTCAACTGGGCCTAAATGTCTCACACTCAAGTGGTATTGATCATGTGGGGATGGTGTCTGTCACTGTTTGGACTGAACAATGAGGAGAGGCTCATAAAGATAAAACCCAAAACATAAATCAATAAAGCATGGCGTCAGGCAACAGGGCTGCAAAGAATCTTCTACACAGCCTAATATTTGTGAAACACATGAGCGCCACTTATCTTTTTGAAAATATTTGTTTTTTAAAACAAATTTAAGGCTTTTATTAGACAATCCTTTCATTGTAGAATTGTCTTTTGGTTTCACTTTTTTTTACCTTTACATTTATCTGCAATAAATTGATTTAGTGAATCCTATCAATCCTGTAAATTTCAAGTATTTAAGGACATCATAATATAATATAAAATAAATATAATATAAAATTTTATATATAATGAGTTTTTTTGGTTTTAATATTTTTCTTTTTTTGTTTAAGAATTGACCTAAATTTTACACCGTAAAAGTCGAAACTTGTTCAATATAATCTTCAGATGTATATTCCTCATTCTACTGATCCAAAGCTGCGTGAAAGCACAAACAGGTTATTACAAACATCTGGAGGTCAACAGTTGTCCTACTAGTATTTGTTAATGACAATTCCACTTCAGGATTTAGTTGTTACGAGATCTCCTATTTAACTGTCCTCATATGTTCATACCTTCTTTCTATTTAGCATAATATTGACAGTGAATTTGTGTAGTACGGTCAATTTATAACTGCAGTATATACTTTATTGCCACTAGGATGATTTTTATTTACTTATCTGTTTTCAGATCTTCATGGTCAGGATGACATGAATAACTACATCAGCCAGTACTACAGTGAGCCAAGCAGCGGTGAGCAGCAGTAATGTCATCATTGGGCCTCGGAAAGCTACAAATGAACAAATTAACTTTTTTTTATGTATATATTTTTAACATTAAAATTACATTAAACTGTGGTTAAGTCAAAAAGAGTAACGAAGGAAAAAGGTCATTCAAAATACTAAGAAATTAAAGTGTGAAGACCAGCGTGCAATTTCCCCACCCTTTGTAGTCCCTACTTAGTAGAACCAACATTCTCAGCACCTACATCAGCACGCATGAAGCCTTTTTGTCCGATCTTCATTGTTAAATTAGAACTGAAGTGCCAGTGATTCTCCATCTTTATTAAGCAGATTCTCAACTAAATTTGGAATGTTCTTACACATTAATATACTTCAGTGTGAACCAATTCTCTGTAGTCAATGCCGTTACCATCACCTGAGTCTGTGGTGTTTTAAAGCTTCTTCCACATTTCCATTTTGGATTGTAGCTTCACTGAAATCTGCATCTTTAAGATTCTGCTTGATAACATTATCCCATCAGCATGCTTCTGCCACTATTGTGTTTAAAATTAGGAAATCTTTGTTTAGAGTGTTGGATTGACTTTATGTTGTTTAGGTATGAAATATGATATAAAGGTACAAGAAACTTAGTTTTATCTGTGTAAATTTCATAAATATACACAATACTAGATTTGTATGATATAAAGTTTACTGTATGCAATATTTCTTTATTTCAAATGAGTTTTTTTCTGTTTTGAAGATATGGGGATCCCAGACCCAGCCCGTGTCATCACAACAGCAGCCATAGATGTGCATCTGCCCAACAACCCCAGCCAGCTTCCCTCCACCTTGGTGAGTTGTGATGCGGCGCCGTCCAGCCGACTGCAACGCACCAGCAGCTCTGTCAGCGAGGCGTCTATGACCACCATGTCCCGCAGCAGCTTCAGTGGCCGCCAGCACAGCATCAGCAGCCAAACGCTGGGCTCCAGCATGGACTGCAGCTCCACCGTGCGCGAGGCCTCCACCTCCACAGACTACAGTGACCAGCGCTGCTACCCGCCACCTTACAGCAGTCCTCTGGCCTTGGGCACTCAGCCACGAGGGAGTCCTAGCACTGTGGTGCAGGAGCTGCTCTACTCTCTCACTGAGGACTCCTGCCTCACTCAGAAGGGCTTGGACCCGGTCAACCTCAAACCCCCCAGTCCGACAGGTTCCACCAAAACCAGCCCTGAGCTGGAGCACAGAGTGAACATCTATAACAAGAGGAACCAAGAGAGCCGGCTCGGGATCCTCAACAAACCTGTCATCCACCTGCAGAGTAATGAGCCTCTGCTTGAGGAGAAATACAGGATGATGGGCCCAGTGGAGACTTCAGTCAACCGCCTGTCAGAGGCATAGGGCCTCACAAAATTATTTTTCAATCAGGACTTTTTGGATCAGAAGCAAAAAAAAGGAATGAACAATCCTGATGGAAGACGCTGGCCCATGAACTACGCCTTTGTCTTTATGTTGCTGGAGGATCAACTTGCTGAAAAGGGCATAAAAAAAAAAAAAAAAAAAAAGATTAATCCATCAGGCTACTCTTATCAGGAATTGACAATTTCTTACCTTTCCTAAAATAAACCAGCAATGTGGTCTAAGCTAGGAGTTATGAAAGAGCCTGTGCAGAAAATTTTGCTTTTTTAGTTGTTTATTGAAAATGAAAAGAAATATGGTGCTGAGAGTTCACGACTCTTCTGTCTCATCTCATCAACTGAAAGCAGCATCTAAGATGTCAAGGTAGTGACTCTGGCATCTCCACACTCATCGAGAACCGTCCTTATTGACGAACTGCTGCAGGGCGAATTTTAGTCAGCTTATTCTTTGACTTTCTAATCTTTTTTTTAAAACAGACAGCTTTAAAAAAAGAAATTCAATCTTTGAACTGTTTTTGTTCTCCAGATGCCATGATTGGACGCTAACCAAGCCCTGTTTAATCAGATTACTCACGATTTTACCAAATTTAAATTTAAATGTTTTTGTCTTTGTAATATTTTAATTTTGTGTAAATGTTCAAGAATTGGTACAATTATCCCATAAAAAAAAGAAACAAGATTAAATAAAGTGCAAAAAAAAAGAAGGCATGAACCTTTAAGATGTGTGACCATGATGCAAACTTGAAGAGTTTCTGTGATCAAGGAAAAGCAATGCTGCAACAAAACATGGAGCCATGTATTTAATAAATGCTTTTCAAAAGCATATCTTCACTTAGTGTACTTGTCCTTTGAGTCAATGAGCAGAGCTACACCTTACATGTCATTTTTAAAAGAAGTACCAACTGTTCTAGCTCTTAAAATACAAATCAACACAAAGAACAAAATGTAGATACAGGTTATTCATTAACAGTTGGAAATCTGCTGTCTACATTAAAAAACTCGGACAGAAAGATGAGATTTTGTAGCACAACATTCGTCTTCAACACATTGTTAAGGCAGCGACTGCTTCCCATGACGACTTTCTAATTCCTTCCTTTCTCTGCGACGAGGCGCTGCGTTGTTTCTCCTCACTTGCTCAAAGCTTCTGTCATCTCAGGAACAGCCTACAGAGAAAACAGAGGGTATTACTTTACAGTCATCAAACAAGCAGTATTAGCAGAGCTATTTACTGCAACAGCAGGCACTTCCATTCAAAGGATAATCTATATGACAACTTTAATTTGATTATTGTGCCAGCAATCATGTTTGCTTTGATAGTTGGAGAAACAAGTACGACCATTTGGGAATACAACAGTAATTTGGGGGCGACAGTGGCACCAGATGTAGGAGTTTGCCCGGAAATCAAATGGTTGATGGTTCAGGCCCCAGCTCTGGCTTGTGTGTCCTTGGACAAAACATTTTACCTACATTGCCTACTGATGGTGGCATCAGGGTATGGCAGCCTTGCTTCTGACAGTGAGTCCCAAGGCGGCTATGGCTAAAATGCAGTTTGCCAATATCAGTGTGTGCGTGAATGGGTGAATGATTGAATTAGTGTAAATATAAGTACAGGCCATTTACCATTTAATTTGCAGGTTTGCACCCAACAATGAGTTTTGAGATTTTCTCAGACAATATTGTGACATGCAGGCTATCCAAGCTGCTTGAACTCTTCTTTGTTCTTCTGTGTTCTGCACTTTATTCAGATCTTTATGGAAGTCAGTCCAACACAAAGAATTTAAGTCAGACTATTTGTAAAGATGTTGTTAGACCTGATGGAGAACATCCAAATATTAATTTTTACCGAAGTTTAAACTTAACTTAAAATTGAAGGTATAGTGGAGGATGTTCTTTTTCCGGGTGGATCATCAAAATAAGTGGTCCTCCTAAATGGCAATCATTCTGGTAATATGTTTATGTAAAGCCATCCTATGTGCTCCTTTTGCTTAAAGGTGTGGAAAAAATAGCAAACCTTCTTTTAGAAAGTAAGCTTGTATGAGCGATGCAAACAGCAACTTTTAAACAGAGCATACAGGAGGAGAAATGGGCTTGTGCATGCTCTCGCATGCATTTAATAATCTTTCCCTCATGGGTCTGAGTACAGGCTTGTGCATGTGCATTATTTTTTAAAGTGGAGAGGGCAGGTCTTTTCAAAAATTCTTGAAAATCCTCGACTATACCTTTATGTTCAGGACTTTGTCTGGCCCGCTCTTGCATATAAATCCTTTAATCTCAAATTGTTAGATTTCAGGTTCAGCTTTTACTGCTGGAAGGGGAACCACCCGTTCTTACTGAAGCCTTTTTACAGCCTCTAGATCAGGGATGTCACAACCCAGTTGAGGTCCAGTGCTGGTGTCCAGCACTTTTTAGATGTATCTGTTTTAACACACCTCAATCGAATAATGATGTCCTTTCCCAGAACTCTGGAGAACTTGACTTCAACAGACGATGTAATTAAGCCATTTTATTCAGGCGTATTGGACGAGGGAGGTTATCTCAAAGGTTGCAGGATACCGGCCCTTGAGGACAGGAATTTGACATCCCTGACCTAGATAAGCTGCCTCTCCATTAAACATCAAATTGCATAAATTGTAATTACGAAAATAAATTTGCTAAATGGAAACACTGCAATAAATAAAAAAAGCTATTTTTTTCCCACATTGGGGTAGTTTTTCGGTCGCATCGGAAATATATTTTGCAAAACTGCAATGAAACACTTCCTTCTTATCTCACGAGTGACCTGATCTACAGCTGGAGCTTCCTTGCCTTGTAAATAGACAAAGAAGAAGACCGGAAGCAGTTGGAGGAGGATGGCGCAGCATATTTGTCTGTATGAGGAGCCATGTTTCAGAAGCTTGAATGTTTCAAGGCATTCAGCTTTTTTCCAAATCGCTAGTTTAAAGGACCTCTTTATGGGTTTGTTATTGTTATTTTACTATCCAGCACAGATTTGTATATAGCATTACTGACAGCTTTCCTGTCAATAGATCCTCCTACCTTGGCTGCAGTCCCCTTGACTGATTTTCTGATTACTGCATTTCTAGATCAAGTGTTTCAATGCTGCTGTAGAGTAATAAGCTTGGTAGGTCCTCTATCTGTGTTCACATGATGGACTTTTAAAAGAAACCTCTGCAAGATGTTTAAAGTTGAAATTATTGTTTTATAACCCAACTATGCTTTAAAAATCTACAGAACTTCCCCTCTGCTGGATTTATACCGTCATCGAAATCCAAACAAGTAAACCTTTATTAATAAAGTAGATGATGAGTAGATGATTTAATTTTCAATTATTAAAACAATAAAATAAATGTATCCTTTTTATTCCATCCCATAACTATGAACCCCTTTTTGTTGGACTGCTGCTGAGATAAAATGTGCTGTTTTTGGTGATAACGCCTGGTGTCACAGTGTGGAAAAGTTGAAAGGTATGAAGTATTTTTTTGTTCATGGTAATGCAGCTGTAGGCGTCTCTTTCAGATGAACATGTCAGCTAATTTATTCACGTGCCTCTGGATTTGACTCCAGCTGAGGAGAATCATCAGTCACTGCCCGAGTTCCTGCAGGGTATCGATGTCCATTTAGGAAAAAAGCAGAGAGCCCATCCATTTTAATCAGTTATCTGAGGAGTGATCACATGTAAGATGATCTCACCCAGCAGGTCACAACTCTGCTGCTACCAGCTTATTCCTAATCACTCCTACAGAGTTTGTCAGGACACCTGGGCTGCTCAGCCACTACTGGAGGGCTAAATAAAACATGACCAACCGGACACACATGAAAATATAACCTGCTAGCCTTTCACAGACAGCACTGGACTCCGCTGTTAGTCATGCCAACTCGCCTGGCTCAATATCCTCGAGCACCAACTTGACACAAGAACGCAACTGAGCGTATAAAAGGCTTGGCAAGTCCACGCTAAGAACAACAACTTGGGCCAACTTTTATCCAGCTATTGATCAGTTCTGATATCTCCTGAGATGCTAATGTGGACTCCTCATGGCAGCAAGCACCAGCCAGAACCCTTCTTAGATTAATTCAAGAGCTTAATAATTCAGCAGTTGCACATTTCCATTAGCTGGAATAAGGCATCCTGCAAAATTTATTAAGTCAGGAAACAAATGTTATATTCTTCCCGTCATTCAGGACTAAAAGCTAACAAAACATTGGGAGTAAAGTTGCTTCGTCAAACCTTATATGAGACTGTTTTACCTATAGATGCTCACCTTAAAAAGATCCGCCACGAGGCCGTAATCAGCCACCTGGAAAATGGGAGCTTCTGGGTCCTTGTTGATAGCAACGATAGTCTAAAGGGGAAAACACAGACACAAACTATTAAAACACATCAAATGTAGTTATGAAACTGCTAATATGGGTTAAACTTTGTTAGAAAGAAACATCAAACCAGAGAAAAAGATAAAAACAAAAAAACAAAATGGGCTTTTCTTTGACCTCCAACTTTACCTTACTGTCTTTCATTCCGGCCAAGTGTTGAATAGCTCCAGAGATTCCAACAGCAATATACAGCTCCTAAGTAAAATGACATTATCAGGGATTAGACTAAAATTTATTAAACCGCCATGAAACCCTTAAGATGAAGTGCAGATGAAGTTCTTTGCACCTTGGTAAAGATGTTTATCAATGAGCTAAAATGAATTCATCTTTCCATGCAAGGCATTTGTTCCCCACAGTGAATAATTTGGAAAAATTATTAATCAGTAAGAGTACTTTTTCTATGAATGCCTGTTTCTAACAAACTCAGAGGTGCACAAATAATGGTTCAACATTGATGCTTATATAATCCCTCACTGCTGAACAGAACAGAACAGCATCGGGTCATCGCTTATTAAGGTCTCACAAAGTGGGAGCATTCAGAGAGAAAGAGCTTTCCTCCTCTGACTAAATTCTTAACCAAACTCCAGACTAAATTCTGTATCTTCAACTCCTTTTCCTTCTCCCAGCACACCTCCCTACTCAGAAGATGGAAGGTTTATGCTGTTTCTGGAGAACTGTTTGTGTGTTGATTGGATCATTATCCTGCTATAAGACCCAACAAAAGCC